AAAAAAAAAAAACATATGTTTCCTACTTTTCCACACACCCAATATTTGTTCAACCAATGGATAAGTTTACTGCAATGGAATATGGAGGGACAAGTTCATCTTTATGTAATTAAATCAATTTATTCTATTTTAATTTTCTTTATACACAATCATGGGATTAATGGAAAGTTAAGATAAGCTTGTTTTTCTTGATGGAGAACATCTAATACCTTACCCTCATATGACTTATTTTAGGTGGCAAAATTGTAGAAGATGAGAATAAAATCATAGATTACAAGATTAGTTGTTAGACAACAACAACACACAGACAAAAAAAAAAAAAAACACTATTTAGGTTTCAAATAATTTTTTTGATAAATCAAGTGATAGACAATGCTTTTGATTTGTGATCAGAGAGAAAACAGAAAATGAATCCAATATAATATAGCATAAGAGGTGTCAATATAAAAATTGGGAAGAATCAATATACACAGTTTTATTCTCTATAAGAAAATGACTATTCTCATGACTCTACCATTGCAATATTTCCATCTCTTGCTATGAACACTTATTTCAAGAAAAAAAAAAAGTAATCAAGTACTAAATAAAATCACATCTTTTGTAAAACCCTAAAGCCAATTATCATTAACGAGGGAATATTGTTCAAATTAATAATCGTGGGCTGGCCCATAATAACTGGGCCGAGCCTCTTTTGTGGGCCTCAAATTCTTGGCTTGCTTATTATTATTAACAATAATTTTTTTAATTTTTTTAAATTTAATCATTTAAGTTAAGAGTGACTTTCCTAAAAATAATACAACATTGTTTCATGTTACTTTGGTCGAATCTACTATTAGCTGATAGATGATAATATTATTTCATATTACTTTGGTCGAATCTATTGTTAACTGATAGATGATTATCACATGAAATGTAAGTCATCGACATGAAATGTAAGTCACCGTCAGCAAAGATTTAAAATAAGAAATCATAAGTTTCTTTCTCATTCATTAAAGAAAATTATAAGCTTCTTTCTCATCTTTTATGATAAAAAAAATAATCATAAACCTAACTTGAGAGGAAGGTAATTACAAATTCCCTTGTTATCCATCAGGTATAAAAACACATCCAAAACAAGAAAATAATAGAGATATCTCCTTCGTTGAATGACTCGGACTAATATTTTATAACATAGGAAGGTAATTACAAATTCTCTTGTTATCCTTGAGGTATAAAAATATATTCAAAACAAGAAAATAGTAGAGCTCTCTTGAACTACTCAAACTCATATTTTGAAGCATTAAAAAATATCTCTCGACTTCAGTCATTCGTGTAGATGGTATCTTAAGAGTATGATATTTTCACATTGAAAGTACGATATTTTTATCTAAAAAATACGATATTTCTATCTCGAAGACATCTCGGACATTCGTACACACACGAGTTTAAACCATATCGAATTGACTAAGACGTTAACGATATTTTTTTTTCTAATAGTTGTTATTGTTTATAGATTATTATAATATAATATTTTAGACCTATAATTAATTTGATTAAGATTAAAGTTTTTTTTAAATTATTTATAATATTTTTTAAAAAAATAGTATTATTTATCGTGATGGTAAAAGTACTATACCAGACAAAAAAATATTATAATAGATAAAATATTATAACAAATAGAAACTTTTTAAAGGGATAATTTATATATTTTTAAAATTACAGATACTATTTAAAAAATGAGAATATCGATTTAAAAAAATAAAAAATTATAGATATTTTCTAAAAAAAATCGCCCTTAAGTTAATGGAATCGATAGAGGATTCGATTCGATCGCTCCGGTTTGCTCTCGGGAGTGCCTCGACTCGATATCTCCAACGCACGTGTCATTTGACCTCCTCGCACGTATGTAATCGTCGACGGGGAACTCGTAACGCCGCTATTTATTATAGTGGGCTCAGCGTTTGTGATTTCAGAATTACAAAAACGTTTTCCCAAAAAATGTTTTTGGTTTGAAAGAGGGTCAGCAAAGTTTCGTTCGTTCTTCTGGTAACGAAGTCGGTCCCACCAACTCAGGCGGGCCCCACCCAACACACACTCTGTGTCTATCCGGACGAGCGCGAGTTAGGGTTCGCTACCCACGGAGGGTTTGGAAGTCTCGGTGCAGAAGAGAATTAGGGTTCTAGAAAATGAGACTTCTCGACGGATTCAAATCACCAAAGTCGCGATCGCCGCTTTCGATTAAAACTTGGATGAGATATTGATATAGATGTGAAGCATAGTGCAGTTGCTGGTGCGGCTTCGACGATTTGACTTCCAAAGGCTGAAGGAATCGGGGTATTTATAGGCAGACGCGAAACTCCTGCTTCCAGTTGTAGAGCAAGCATAACATTAGATGGCAAAAAATTGGATTTTGACACTGAAATCGATCTTTTAGCCCGTGGGAGGCTTGGATTTCGAGAATAGAGACCTTGCTTCGCGGTAGCTTGTGCGGCTTTCAGGGAAATGGAAGCGAGCCTGGATCAGACGCTTCAGGAGGGTAAGCTCGTCCGTCAGGTCAACGCCTTCATCGTTGCCTATCTTCGTGACAACAATCTGCATCAGGCAATGCTCCTTTCCTTCTTCGTCGATCTTGGCCACACTTTCGACACCTTCCTGTTAACTGCTTGAAATGGTTTAATTCGTGTATCAGGCTGCAATGGCGGTTGCTTCAGCCACGATGACCCCGTTGGCCACAGACGCACCTGCAAACAGGCTTCTTGAACTGGTTACTAAGGTATGAGTTTTACGTCGCCCATCGTGCTTCCCTCCACATCAGGAAGATTTAGGAGTCTGATGTATCAACAGGGTCTTGCAGTTGAGAGGGACGAGGCTTCAAGGGGAGTTTCAGCTGCGTCTGCTGCAGGGATACCGGTTTTACTTGGCTCGATGCCTGTTCCAACCCAAGCCATAGATTTCAGGTGACTATTTTTATGCTGCCCTTTGCTTATGACATTTGCATACAACAATGAAAATTACTGCTGATTTTATTCACAAATGAATAATTTAGCTCATGTTTGTGTCTGGTTTGTGGTCTGCAACTCTGGCTCAACCTGTAGTT